ACGTACTTGTTCGTCTTTGAAGTACCGGAAGCAGGATTCGATCCCAGACAGTATGCCTTGTAGAGCCAGGAGACGTTACCGGTGTCGACTAAACGAGGATCGTAACTGCGCACGGGGGCATCGTTTTCTTCGGTGGGAATCTGGCTGATGTCCTGGCCTGCCTCGAGCGCCCGGCATCTCTTTTCAATCCACCGTCTTCGTCGTTCGATCGCGGTCTCCGACGGGGACTCAATGTGCATGCCGGTGAAGCTGACACCGCAGATCGCGCAGTAACAATCGTACGCCATGGTGAAGGGAGGGTTGAATCTGGCTTCGGGGAATTGGCCGTTACACGGAGGGGCGTTTGAATAGATAAAAGAGAAAGAAGGGAAAGATTCTGTGCCTGGATTCCAGAATAAATGGTTCAGGGGGTCCACAGTGGAGAAGAGGATGGGGCAATAAATAGACAACCATGATAGGAGAATGCCAGAAAACTCTTAGCGATGATCATCCTGACCGCCATGTCCTCGAAAGTTGCCAGGTCATCCCCCTCTTCAATGCAAAATAGCGTTGCAAGCGGGTCTGGGCGATTGTCCTGGTTGAATGTAGCTAATTCTTTTACATTTCACAATCCTGATTTGTACTGCAGCTCTAAAAACCCTCCCTCACCGCCCGGAGATCGCGTCCCATGGCTCCCCGACTCACCCAACCCACGATGCTCATAAGGGGGCTTATTAATAATTTAATGCTCCAGGGGTAGCTTTCTTTTCCTTTCTGAGATCTTTTCTACCAAATCTTTAGATCCATTATTAAGGTTTTCCCAGTCAATGACTCGGGATCTCCAGTTCAATGCAACATAACTAAAATCCGGGGTTCTCCAGTATAGGGTTACCAGTACCGTGACCGCCTCGGACAATTGACACGTCTACACTTCCAAGCAAAAGATTGGGTGATGTCCTCCAAACCACACCACTCGAGAGCTACCGACCATCTCTCTCACTGCGTCGCGGCCCAGGGTGGAACAAGTGTCAGCAATTCCTTTGTTGCCAACAACCTTCGAGGGTCATCTGACCCAATGCGGGTTCCAGACCTCCCGTGTTGAGAAATCCATATCCTTGGGGGGCGCACGCCATACATCCCACTAACAATCTTAGCGCGACGGCGATGCGCCACTAGTTGTTGGTTGCAGCTTCTGGAAGACACTCATGACCTCGAAGGATGAGCTGAGCTGATACTGCGCCGGTCGATTTCTGTTAATTTTTTTTAGTTTTTAGGTGGCAAATCGCGGCTGCGAAGCAAATTATACTGTGTAGCTGGGTGCCGGCCTAACGTGGCAGCATTGATCGGCCAAACCCAGATAATCCAGTTAAAAACTCGAAATCGACCAACAGCCACTCTGACCGTATGCATCTGTCCCACGGTCGGGGCTGGGCGGAGTTGTGCCGCGGCAACGAATGCGTCCTTCCTCCGTCTAGCGGAGCGGAAACTTTTTCACCACCTCCATTTAGCATTGACTCCCCGGATATGGCGCCGGTACTTTTGTACACAATTCTGGTTCCTGGTAAAAGTTGCTTATCAACGCCACCCGGAAGTCCGGCACGATCGTCGACAGAGTTTGCGACCTGTTGATGATAATTTATTTGCCTTGTGGCGCCCTTACCCAGTGTAAACATACACGTCGAGGGAGCCCAGGTACGACGCGTATAGTGTCTGCAAGTTGCTGAAATAGGAATCAATCGCAATCACATAGAAAGCTAATTACTGGCCAGTCCTGAGGGACGATTTGGCGCGTGTAGTTCCAACGTTATCTTCACACCAAATAGCCAATCAAGCTTTTCTCTTCGGTCCAGCGCCGTCATGAATTGTGACGTATGGGTTGGCGAGGAGCGTTGTCCTACAAGATGCAAGGGATATGTAATCGATACTGACGCGTTGGGTCGTCCACAAGGGCATATGTATGCCCGCGAACAGGTCTTAGGGTCTGAGGTTACATATGGAAAGTCGAGGCCGCATGCAGGTTTATCTTTTGAAGACATACTCAGCATTCTTTATACTCATAATGTAAACCATACTAAATTTGCGGTTGCTCGGGCTTGTAACTCAGGGGTAGAGTGCTCGCTTCGCATGCGAGAAGTCAGGGGTTCAATTCCCCTCAAGTCCATTTCTTTTTTCCCCTTTTTTCTTGGCTTTACTTTCGACTATCTATTGGTTCCTTTTTTCTATGACAAGACCTCCAGAGTTCCTTCTATTCTACTTTTATATTGTTTTTCCATATTAGCTTATCATATTTCCTCTCATCTCTGATTATTCACTCTTCCGGGTCGTGACAATCGCAGTTGCCCCATGAAGAGTGCCTCATAGTTCCGTGGTTTCACTATATCAGCGATACTAAACCTTCATATATGGAAAAGGGGAGTAATACTTGTAGAAAATAGTAATCAATAAACCGCGATCCAAGGTTTTATATTGAACTTCTGAGGTGAACTGAAATACGCCAATCTGTGGCTACAATACTATGGGAGCGGATATATATAATGACAGAACAAGAACCCCAAACAGGTGAAGTTTGCCTCGACTTAGAGAAACAACCTCATCAATTTTACAATAAACATACAAAAATATTTTCTTTCTAGAAACTGATCCTCGAATGGTAGCAATTTGATATTGTTCCTCGTTCGGAATCCTGCTTTGGAAGTTATCGCGACGTTAGAGTTGTACCTACCCATCGTAAACTCAATGCTTAAGTATACTTCGAAATTCTCCGAATATTTTACTACTTATCTTGGTGTTGAGATATATTTCGAGAATGTGCATGAGGATAGCTCACATTTACCAGAGCAAACTCAAACAGTAGTCACTGCATGAGAGATAGTCTATATATAGCTATGGGAGACTATGCTTCAGTTCATGAAGCTCATGTACATGATCCGAGTTGAACCAGTCATTCCACTACGCAATGTAACCCCCCACCCCTCCAAAAAGCAGCAAGATGGAAAGAAGAGTCACCAGGAGGTTGAACTAGGCAAAAACATGAGAGTCAGCTCTGTCTTAATATTTGTGCTACGATAAGGGGTTCAGAAGTATAGATCGGTGTCTATCTACTGCACAAGGGATGCCCGCCTATTCGCATATATCAGAGATGCTCGCCGAGCCTGGCCAGCCTAACAGTTATTCAAAAGGAATCCTATGATATCTTTGGTTTACTCTTGAGCTCCACATATTACATAGGTTTGCAACTGAATCTACGGTCTATGTCCTACGTAGAACACGGGGGTGGACGTATCATCCTTGCCATAGTTTATACAAGTCATAATAGACTCTAGACAGTCTCTCGACTCCAAGAATCGTGCCTTTCCTCCTACATAAAGGAGAGTGGCTTAAGACAAATAATATGTAATTAGGCAGAAACCGACCACCCTATCTAAGTCTCAGCCAAGAGGCATATCTTACCCACGTCGCGTGTGCAGCTACCTAGTAGCCCAAGAATAAACTTGATCTAGGAGAGAGAAATATTTCAGGTTTCTCATAATCCCTTCGCAACCTCGTCCCGGATCTGGCGAGGGAATGGTTTAGCTAAACTTGGTTGATGTCTTATATTTCTAAATGTAGTATTTGATAGGAGATGTCCATTGAATAGCGTTCTCATGGCTAGACCTTGTGCAAAATTCGATTCACCTAGCAGGCCCCGATGTCCAACCCTTAGGAGAATATCCTCAGATATGCCGGCCAGTTGCTCCCGTTTTGGTAAGGTATATACAAATCATAGAGCAAATGGTTGCTGCATCCATCTCAACTCGATCGCTGGACCTGGTGCTTGAATACTGCGTAGCAAAGCTAATGAGCTGGTGTGACCGATTCCCGGATAATCTACGGAGTACGCCCGAACAGGCTGGCGATGTGCAGAAGAATGCCACGCAGTGTGGACCGGAGTTAACCGACGTGCATCGAGACATTTTCCAGTGCCTCGCAAATTTTGAGACATGCAGTTCTGGGCAATAGCTCTGCAGTCTATTGATCCTACTATCATGTATAGTCGGTTGAGATGTCGAGGGTTCAATTCTTCTGGAAAATGTGGTTATTGCTGCATCGCCACTACCGGGTCTTGCTCCGTATCCAAATTAACGGTTTCTGAAAATGGGGTTGGATCTGCACCCGCTAATGATTTTGGTTCCGAATCATTGCCCCCCTGTCTTAGGCTGTAGAAAGCCCGCTCTGTGTCGTTGTTATGACCAGAGCTCCATAGCCTTTTCGCTGTTCAAGAAGATGTAGTGGAGAACACCTCATCATCATGACAACAGGTGCGGTGTCCCGTCCTTACATCTCGCTGGCGGGGGATTTTCAGTGGCGTGAGGAGACAACAAGGATATTGATCGAAGATTGCCGCCCCATCTACTATGTTTAGGGCATTGCTCCGGATCAAGTTCAATATATGGAGCCAATAACGGACACTAGAATGAGACAATGTCTGTAATGTGGAGCAGCGGCTGTTATTGTACCCGTTCGGAATCCCATTTCTGCGAAACAATTGTCTCTCCTAAAATTAATGATTCCTATTCCCCGATTGGCTGTTCCCTCGACTCCGAGGCTTCTGAGCGTGGCAACTGAGGGCACAGCGCCCCACGTGATGGACAAGACCCCAATTGCATCGCTGACCTTTGGGCCGAAATGAAACTAAATCCAAGGGACTGCGGAGTGGACCGGCTAATTATAGCTCTAGGGTCAACTATTCTGCAGGATGACAACATGGCACCAGTCGAACCGCGGCATTCTCCCGTTGTTCCTAAGATTTCAATCTCCAGAGCGGACAGTTAGCGGGTAATAGTTGACATCAATGTCTTGGAAGAGACTTCATCGCCTCGATCAGGTTATCAGTCTCAACATATAAAAGCCTTTCTCATTCCCCTTCTCCCTGCTACCATTCCACTCATCAGTCAAGCAATAAGTTAATCAATCAATCTATCCAGTCGTTCAAAACACTTTCGTTTTCTACAAAACCATTCGTTTACTACCAACCTTTCAAAATGCAGTTCAAGAACCTTGCTCTCGCCGCCTCCGTCGTTGCTACCGCCGCCGCTGCCCCGGCTGCTGACAGCTGCTCTGCCCCGGCTTCGACCCCGTCTTCTACCCCTGCCGCTGGTGCCCCTCAATACTTCGGCGTCATCGCCATTCATTCCGGCAGCGGTGTCCAGAACGCTGGCTTCAGCGCCGCCCAGGGTAGCCTCATCGCTGGCCTCCAGAACAAGGGATCCAGCTGCCAGGAGACCAGCTTCTACATCAACGACGGTGTTCTCAACATCTACGACGACACCGCTCGTCCCCAGGAGGTCTACGTTGACCGCTCCGGCATGGGTACGTGATGCCTTCTACCCGTCCCCCAACGATGTACACTAGAATCTAACCATACCATAGGCCAGGGCAAGATTGGCTACACCGTTGGTGTCGAGCCTGCTCCCAGGAACGCCGAGCGCAAGGGCTGGGCCGTCAAGGATGGCCACCTCCAGTTCGGTGGATCCAGCCTCATTGCCTGCCCCGCTACCGACGGCTACAGCATCTGGGCCAACGCTGGTGTCGCCAACCCCGCTGGCAACAAGGATTGCGTTGGCATTGCTGCTCGCATTATGGAGACTAAGACCCCCAAGCCCTGCTGGGCCAACTAAATTTGTGCTTTAGCGTTTCGTTCTTTGGCGCGAGGACTTGTATAAAGGATTGATTTCTCCTTGCGCATCTTTTTCTTGAGCGGATTGTGGATACTTCTGTGAAAACACTTATTTAATCTATAAACCTTCCTTACACGGAAAAATGATTCCGGTCTATCAAGCGTAACTAGTTTCTTTATGGTCTCATTTCTTGTAGACGACCACTACGTGATAGGTCACGGTTTTCGGCTCGAAGGGGTTCATGGCTGAACGCTTATAGTCTCCTCAAATGATGACCTAGATGAGCTGATGCTAGATGGACTCAGAGCCAGAGCTTGGTATTTATTACATATACAAGCAGATGATGGTTCTTTAGTTTTCCCTGGTAGCGGGTTTGTGGATCTGCCACACTTGATGTTGCATCCGCAGATCTGCACCAGATTGTATAATTGAGACCTAGAACACAACTGTCTTCTAACACAAATAAGTGGACCAACTCCGTTATCATTACGTCAAGAGTCAAGACCAATTCTAGCTTCCGCGTGGGTGGATTTAGGGTTCAGTCGTTGACGGTTGCGGTCGCGGGACCGGGCGGATAAATCGTTAGATAACTTTAATTGACATCTAGAATGTATACGTGATACGTAACGAGGCTTATGCGCATACATATCTCTTTCATGTAGCCGCACGATGATCTCAACTGAAGAACACACCTCTTGGGCTCGAGCTCGTTGAAATTCATGTGACCCTGCTCCCTGAATAAGAGTTTATAACTTTCATTTCAAACCACTGTTCTCTGCCATATACCAGGGGACGTTACAGGGGAATTCGATAGCAACGTCATTTATATTACAAAACCTCCAACATCCAAAGTCAAGGGTGTTAATTCTATTACTGGGACTGTGACACCCCGAAAGCTTAATATAAAGTTAATAACACTCGGTGACGCTGCCAAAGATGCGATGCTCTTACGTTGCCAGAGCACCAGGCCACGCAGCCTACGGAATTCTTCTATTTCAGGCGCCAGAAAAGTGCCGGAGAGGCATTTCTGTTAATTAAGACAGGGTACAATACAGATGTAGACATCGTGACCCTAATAGTACTGCATGCTAGTAAAAAATGACTCGTGTGGCGATTGGACTTCAGACTTAAAGTCCACTCTGGTTTGAATTCCAACAAACGGTTCAGCACGTTTCTTGTGAAGCTCTGCCGCATGCAGTCAAATATACTGCCACTATACGTTATTCCTTTTTCCATCCATGGAACTATGAGTGTAATATCGCCTTTATGATATAATGACTCTGATATGTAGGCTAGGATACAACTAAGTTATATATACGGCAACGTTCATCATCTCGCATGAAGACATGACGGGTTGAGTACAGATATCAAACCAATTATCTCTCAAGTTCAAACAGCAAAATCAAGCAGTGTTACGAACAATATTTCAAGATGAAGATCACAAACACACTTTGCCTCCTCTTCACGGTTCTCGCCACCTCTGCCTCCGCTACTCCTTTCTATTATGGTTGGTCGGAAAGTGTGACCGTCCAACTTTCCAACGACTGGTCTGGTGCAAACGCCAAAGCCCACGTTGCAACCGATGGCAGGCCGCATCCAATCCAAGAGCTCTTTGACGGCTCAGATATTGAAAAAGACGGCAAGATCTTTGCAACAAGCGCCCAGCTCACCAAGTTCCACCATAATACCGTCTGTCGCGTACTTCAGAGTGACCCTCGGGTCGACGTCACATTGGACGACAAAAATACTTGGTCGTTCCTGGACCGCGGTGCCTGGGTGGATGTACACCGCGGTGTGGTGGTCTGTATCGAAAAATAGACAGGTCCCTCTTGTTTGGAACGCACATCAGGGATTATTTATGACCAAGGGTACATGTTTCTTCTATCTAAGTGAGGGTACCGATCATACAGCCATTCTTCTACCAGAAGCGGTTGCTTGGATTGCGCAGGAAGTTAGGTTATTGTTTTGTTTGTATTCTCCCAAGGGCTAGGAACACAGCCTAGGAAAAATTTGTCTTGGAATCTTTGAAGATATAATCAAATGGTAATGTGGTTATTGGTCGGTCCTTCTAAGAGATCCAACTGAAGAAGATGGAAGTACTGTATTTAGCCCATTCGGCTTGCGAGCAGTCATTAACGACACATGAGAGCAACCGATCAAAAAGGGCGATCGCAATGGTTTCGGGTGCATAAAGTAAGCATAATGAGCCGCGATTAAAGTAGGATGCAACATGCCTCGCAAGGTAGGAGTCGCAACAATGCCATGGGGATCTTATACAAGAAAGTAAGAGCACAACTAGCGATCGTTATTCATAGGCTCACCTGGAATTACTCGTATGCAGCTCCAAAGTTATGCGTGGACTAACATTTTGACGGAATAGCTCATGGCTAAAGATGGTGCAAAATCGCTACCCTTCTATACATACTGGAGGAAAATTGGAAGTTTCCAGCTCCTCGATGCATTATAGCAATGTTGGGTATCCAATAATCATTGCAGCCATGGCATTTGCAGATCCATTCAAATCAGGTGCGATCTGTATGCCTACCACCCCACGACCAGTTATTTACTCTTTTCTTAACGGGATCTTCAGGAGATCCCAAACAAGTCAAGATCATCCTGCCCCCCCGCACTGGCTATGAAAGGGGCTTCCAGGAGACCATACTCTGTACATTCCGACTCGAGAGTTTATGGACCTTTGTCCAGTCTGAGTAGCATTAATTACAAGCGCTGCCTCCCTCCGGTAGTAGCTTTCGCTGCTAGCATGAGTGTATACTGGAACTCTGCGATAGAGCATAGTATAGTTGGCCGATCGCGTAGGACGGGAAGACACTGACTGGCCTATTGCCCGAAGAATTTTTTTCATCGATATGAAATAACGCTATCGAGCCATCGCTCCCCTTGATCCTACAATTAACGCCCTTGCTTGGTGGGATGGAAGAGATCGATACTGGACGGTTACGTCCCCACCAATCAATCCTCGCAGACCCTGTCAGGTGCGATAGAAGCCCTGAGTCAGCCTTGTGTGGGTAGAAGCCAGGAAATGTTACAGGTGAGTTCAACTCTGTGTTGACGGATGTAATTCTGCTCATAAATAGGTGGGTTAACTGGTCCGATGTCTGTAGGACATACTTTGTGCACATCGCATCATCTACAAGTGACCCTGTCCACCACACTTATATGAGCTATGGTGAAGAGGCGTAGATCCATTGATTTGGTTTCATTGAGGTATTGCTATGTTTATTTCTCACCCCACCCCCTTTCTTTGATTATCTAAACAATCGGAGAAGCATCAGACGGAAAATGTTGCATTTTTCCAGGGGTCTTGGCATGTCGCAGAAAATTTCCCCAGATTCTGCTCACCAACAAGCAATTCCTTGGGCTTTTGACAACCGATAAGGCCCGGGGAGAATTTACTTACGAAGGGGATGTGAAACGAGGGGCTTATAGGAAATTGTGTGTATTCTCGGAGCTTGCACAGAAGGATTTCTACCTTTCTACCTTGTAACCTAGGTACTTCTGAATACCTAATTAGGGGCAATGATATGGATAAGAACTTCTAAAAAAAATAATGGAAGAAAAAAGACAGAATCGCACGCAGTACGGGGTCCTCCAGAAACAAAACTCAGAGACCTTGCCCAAGTGGCAGCGCCAGTTGATTCGGGAATTGGATTGATCGAAAGCCGTTTTCAGTTGAGCAGCCCTTGTTTCAGAATGTCAATTTTAGATACATTTTCTTATCCGCATTCCGTCTAGTGTGGGAGAGCCCCTTAAACAGTCCGTAGTTATTGGACCATGGCTCAGACGCTACTAAGATTAGACTCCCACCGTGTTTGGCGCTAATTAATTCTCGAATTGTCCTGCCTACTTTCTTTCTCGGATCAGCCCCTGATCTTTCCTTTTAATCTTCCTTCTTCCCATGTTCTCGAACCGATCGTCAATCCCATCCACCCTGCATCCGCCCTCAAGATGCCTCCAATGGCATCATCCCTGTGGATTCGCGACTGTGAGGGCGACGACTCCGCAGCCTGCGAGAAGCCTGTGAGTAACTTCATTAAGAGCGGTGTCCCTGGCATCATCGTTGGGGTGTAAGTGCAGTGGTATTCCCAATTGTTATGCTCCCAGGGGGAGAGACTAATCGCTCCCCTAGTTTATTCCTGATCGCGGTCGGAGTCTGCTGTTATTTCCTTTATCGCAATAAGAAGAGAGACGCCATAGAAGCAAAAGCAGCTCAAAAGTGGAATGATGGCGACCTGTAGACTGCCGTTGTCCACCAGCTTACCCCGATAAATCTCCGAATAATCCAACCTTACTTCCTAATACCCCTGTTTCGACCAAAACACTTCGTTTCCGTTCGGCAAATGAGAGCTACTCCGTCAAGGGAATCCACCAAGCGTTGCTGAGCACCGCAGAGGTGATGAAGAGTTCATAGATCGGATTGAATATGCAAGCGCGTTGCTACGAGTGATACCGATAATCGCCTGTCATCCGCGGGAAATGGCTGACACGTCATCCAACTGTCTTACTGTGACTGGCACACAATGCTGTCCTAATGAGTATATACACGAGCTCGGCCTATGTGCCTACATGGGTGGTTTTTTTGGGAGGGAATGAGTACCTGGTGCAGCATCTTACAACCCTTGCGACGGATGCATGACATCCACGGTGATCAGTCATCTCCGGTTCCTTGTTAATTCTAGTACTTTACTATATGTTTTCGGTTTGTTTTGGGTCCTTTTTGAGCGTTTGAATTTAAAGTTGTCTGTGTATATATACCATTGTCGAGTTCAGAAGTTGTATGTAAACTGCATGGTTGATGCATAAAGAGAGTGACTAAGCAATGCAGTCGCTAAACGACCATAAATCTTGACTTGTCGGTTATGGGAAACCTGTGACAACGGTAGACCTACTCAGCATCGTCTGAAAAATCTCCACCGAGTGGGTTAAGAGGATGGTTGCGGTGATTGAGAAAACAAGTTGAAGCACAAACTTAGAATCAATACCGCACCCGGTCGTGTTGGAGAGTATCGCCGCAAACGAGCGCTTTAGGTTTGAAACCATCTCGGCAGGCGCAACCTGCAGAAAAGAAGGAAAGCTTGGCTCTTCTGGCTGATGACATGGCTGCATGGCTTGGAACTACAGATCGATTGCCAAGTTGACCCATCATAAGTTCTGAACGGTAAACTTTGCTAGCCAGTGGACTCGTCAAAGGGCAACCGTGCCATGACAAAACTACGTTGCTCACGAGGGCAATTGGTATCGCACAGTAGAGGTTATATCGCCGACATACCAGATTCCTTGAGCTGGTATTGATTGACAGACTCTGCACCGTAATCTCCGAATGGAAATGCAACCTCTATCCCGAGCACCGCGCTGCTACTTCCAAGTAGTGTAAAGATGACGGATGATATGCGATCACGTTTCTGCTTTGCCGGTGGCAGATCAGGATAAAGCACCTGCAGGATCAAAGAAAACCATGAATGATGGTGGCAATCGGAGACAACCCTAAAAGATTTTCAATGTCAAAAGCTGGCTCACCATTCATGACGCCAGGGGCACAAGTACTCCAATTGCCTATTTGCACGATGATACAAGGCATGCCGTTACTCCAGATAATAGTCATCGGCTTTCAGCGGTATATATACCACTATATCACTGGCCTCTGGGCTTTCGTGAATGACTAACAGACTATGTGGACGATGCCTGACTTTAAACAGTATTAACTAAATACTACATGCACCATTAGCTATCAAAGACAGAAGTTCAATCCGAGAATAGGCTTGTTTGGACACATATAGCAGTGGTAAAGGGCCTTCTATTCCCTAATAGCTACCCTTATGGAATTCTAACCACGATTCCTACATATCCAGGTTGAAGGCAAGCAGAGCTTTCAACAGAATTATTATCATTCCTATATCGACACGTCGAATTGACCTACAGTGATATCGCCCAGATACATCTGCTCTAGATTGTAACCCAGTGTTGTGTTCCACCTGGCTTCAATAGTCTGTTGCGCAGTCAAGAATCCAAATCCACATCCAAACATAGACCTGACCCCTAATCCATACAATGGGACTTGAGACATTCATACAGCCCAAGGTTAGCATAATATCGCCTCGCTAATGAACACAACCGCATTTTTGAACAATTACCTGATTGTATATCGTTGGCTACTGGGCTAAGTCGTAGTACCGCGTTTCTGTATGTTTCACCGGGGTTATTCATGGCATATACACCCTTCACCCCCAACGCGCGGAACACTATTTGCGTTCTGAATACTGCCTAGGATCTAGATCGGGTTTCCTGGTTCACCTATAGCCCTATGTGGCTGCCTAACCGGTGAACATCCGTTTTCTGGCTTACCGACATTTGCAGAAAGACTTCAAACTTTCAGCTGGTTCGCCCGTCGCGACTGGTTCAACCCGATCTGTATGTTTATCTACTACACCCATCGTATACAGGTCACCTTCTGATCATGTATATATACTGTGGGAAGCTGATTTATAGAGCAGACAGCGTTGAAGCCTGCTGGATGAGATATCTTCCCTGGAACCTGTTATTGCATGGGCTTATTTACAGTAATGTGGCATCCTTCAAATCCAAGTTATTGGTCTTCTATCCGCGGAGAAACGACACCCTCATCCGGAAAGTCTTTGTCGAAGAATGGGAAATGTACCACCGTAATACGGCGCGCTTAATCCTCGGGCTTTCTAAGGAGTTACTTGGGCATTTCTTTGATCTGGTGCCGATAGTCGCAATTAGAGTGCGATTATATTTCTTGACTTGTCTTATTTAATTTAGGATCCAGCTACTCTCCGTGCTCTTTAAATTTCCATCTAGATAGTTGGTCTCGATTGCCTGGCTTACGTTAAGTGTTTCCGAGGTACATGCTGCTGTGTGTCGATTGTAATCACTCCGGTAGGGCTAGTATGAACAAAAACGTATCATTTTAGTTATGTAACCTGGACGTGAATTTAACTCGGCAGACTCGGTACATGAAAACTGGATGCAGATGGTTGTTAGCGTCAGAGTCTAGCGGGATAGATGTCTTACATGAGGTGCTATCGTAAGAATTATGTGACTTCGCCAATATTCCGCTCATCCGAAGTTGGATATGAAAATACCCCTGTCGATGGATGGATATTAGATGTGGTTGGGATAAACCCCGAGCAGAGTTGGATATGCCAGCATGATAACCCTCCCTCCTTAGCTGGCGTAGAAAATCAATGCAACCTGACGAGCTTCATTATGTAATTCTTGAGCCGATAGCCATTTACCAAGTCTGTGTGCAGTCTTACGCTGCAGATAGGAATAAAGGCGAAGAAGCCGTAGTGTATGGATTTTACCCAGAGCTACACTTGGAAGGCCTTGGTAGCCCTATAGGGAACGGGCTAACAATCTGATAAACCGTATTAATCAATCAACCGAAGCGGGGTCTATTTCCAGTTCTGGGGTAGGGCAGCAGTAGTGTTAACGAAGGTCGTATCAATGACCCTAACAAGGATAATCATTGGTCGCCACCGTTCGAAAACGAATCCCTGGTCTTGTCCCGTTCCTCCAACTCATGGCCCCCCTCTTCTGTACCAATTTATCTTGCTTCTCATCTGAGCTTCTCGCTGTTCAACACCTATCTAGGACTAACGTTTCGAAACTATTTCCCCATACTGAACGTCATGAGATGGCCTTTGATTGCAACATTAGGATATCTCCCACCTTGCACGGCCCGAGATTCGAGTTAATATCCGTGCGTGAGGGAATAAATGCCTCCATCCTAGGCAGAAGAATTTCCTTGGGCCCACCGGCATGGCTCTGATTGCCGGTTCTCCACGGAACCATCCCAATGCGGTAACCCGTGGACCAACCCTCAGCCCTACAAAGCTTAGCCGAGTCTTGTTCGGCATAGGGCTGACCCGGTCATGGAAACAGCTTCTCACAGACTCAAATGATAATATCTGTAGAGAAGAGCGTAAAAGGTGGGAGATACTGGAAGGGGTGAACGTTGTGTAAGCAGCTGAGCCGTATACTTGATGCAGGTGTAGGAGAGGTATAATCTGGCAGGGATCTCGCCCTTATCTGATTCCCTGTGGCAGGCAAGACATGCGATGATATGATGCCCCCACCCGACCTATCTAATTTCGGGGGACAGAGGCCAGAGCTGCCTGTTGTCCCACAAGGCTGGAGCCACCGGAATTTGACCGACAGATTGTGCAATGGACAGATCCTTTCCACCGAGAAGTTCCGATCGTTGGTTTTTTCATCCCCTCACCAGCTCTGCCACATGTTAAGATTAGATCTTATCTGATAAATATATCAATCATATCTGACCCGACCGATGTCCCCTTTTCTGGTTCAAATCCAAACTTAAGCCATGGCTGTCGAATGCAAGGAAGCGATTGCCAACGCACAGCCAGAGGAGCTGGGGGATAAGTCAAACGCTACGGAGAAAGATGACAGTAAGGCGTTACGGCTCATCCACATCCGTTCGCTTTTGCTAATGACAAACATCGCAGACTCTTCCGTTGGCGAGATTTTACGCGCAGCGGGCATTGACCCGGACGACGACGATCCAACAGAGCCTGTCCTGACGATGCGAATGTGGGTGCTGGGAATTGGATTTTGCATTGTTGTCAGCGGTTTGAACACATTGTATACTTTGAGAAACCCATCCATCACCATCTCATCGGCAGTCGTGCTTTTGCTGGCTTATCCGCTTGGTAAGCTTTGGGAGAAAGTGGTTCCAAGTTGGAACGTTCCGCTTGGTGCGTGGTCGTTCAACCTGAACCCGGGCCCGTTTAATAAGAAGGTAAACACTTACGAATCATACGGAGAAGGTGTTGGTATTGACCCGGGCTATACGAATAGGAACACATCCTGGTGTACGTCATGTCGAATTTAAGCATCTACGTTCGTCTCGGCGCAGATGTCTTGACTGAACAACAAATGTTCTTCGGCTATAAGGCTGGGTGGGGATTCCAGATCCTCATGACAATGGCAGGCTTCTTCGTCGGATTGTCGCTGGCGGGGATATTTCGGTCGCTCGTCGTTTTACCCCATGAACTTGTGTGGCCAGGACTCCTGGGTACTTCAGCCCTCACATCTACGCTCCATGGATCGAAAGAGAAGGATGCTCAGGCAATGTGAGTGCGTCTTATGCTACCTGTGAAGCATCTAACCGAATGCAGTGAAAGCTTCGGCTACACGACTTGGAAGATATCCCGTTATGCCTTTTTCAGCTTGGTATTTTGCATCTCGTTCTGCTGGTACTGGTTTCCAGATTTCATCTTTCCCGCGCTGAGCTACTTCGCTTTCCCATGCTGGATCGCACCAAAGAACACAGTTGTCAACCAGCTTTTTGGGATGAAGAGCGGCATGGGTCTCTTGCCACTCACGTTCGATTGTGCGTGCACCAATTCAGCTTTCGTGACATAGCGCTGATAATGGTATAGGGAGTCAAATATCCTATGTGGGATCTCCACTACTCGTCCCATCCTGGGCTATTATCAATGTCTTCGGAGCACTAGTGTTCTGGATCTGGATCGTCGCCGTTGCTTGCTACTATACTAATACATGGTACTCCGCATATCTTCCCTTCCAGAGTTCTTCTGGTATGAACCACCCAATAAAGCGTACAATAGTTACCTCAAAGTATGGCACTAACGGTCACAATAACAGTGTTTGACAACACAGGGAGTACATACCAGGCTTCCAAGATCGTGAACAAGGCCTCAAGTTATCAGTTAGACGTGGCTAAATATGAAGCATACTCACCGGTATGGTCTATGTAGAACAGGATCTTGCACCATCGAACGGTCTCGCTAACTACCATAGGTCTTTATGCCCGTGACCTATGCGTTAAATATGTTCGGTTTATCATTTGCAACCCTAACCTCCCTTGTGGTCTGGATGTTCCTTGAAAAGCGACAGGAGATCGGGGATGCCGTGCGCCGGGTACGGCACAAATTCTCCAAGGGCAACATAAAAGAGCTTTTTGCCTCGGACCATTCGCCGAACGCGGAAGTGCCAATGTGGTGGTATCTTTGCACCACAGTCTTGGCGTTGTTTCTCGCGATCTTTTCTGTAGAATACTGGGATGTGGAGCTGCGTTGGTACGGTGCATTGTTGGCGTGTGCTGTTGCTCTGTTTTTCTTTTCTCCGGTAGGTGACCACCACCTATGGGCTAGAACTGGACCAGATGAATCACTAACATTGCTCTCCAAAATAGCTCGCTTTGGTCTATGCAACAGCGAACCAGAAAATCAATATCGACATCTTCTGCCGAATTGTAGCCGGATTTGTCTTCGAGGGCCGTGTGCTAGCTAACATCTGGTTCTTCAATCTCGGATACGTGACAACCATCAAGGGTCTTTACTTCTGCCAGGATATGAAATTAGGAATCTACTTCAACGTTCGTGCCCCGTGTGAAAACCAGCCACCCCAAACTAACCTTTTCACTAGATCCCGCCACGAAAACTCTTCATCGCACAATGCGGAGGCATTATAGCCGGCACGTTAAGCAGTGTATGCGTCCTCAACTGGGGCCTGGGCAACATCGAAGGCGTCTGCACAACCGACGCAGTGAATGGATTCAGCTGTCCATTCTCCCGAACCCATTTCAACACGAGTCTGATCTGGGGTGCGATCGGACCGCGTCGCTTCTTCAACAACAAGATCGGATATCACTCACTGCTGTACTTCTTTATCATCGGTGCCGTGCTTCCCGTGGTGGTGTTCGTCGCTAGACGGCGGTACCCGAAGAACCTCATCTTACAGAAAATCCACGTTCCCCTATTCCTTGGCGGACTGAACTATCTTCCGCCTGCCACGGGAACGACATACGGCAGTTGGGCTCTTGTGGGACTGGCCTTTGGGTGGATTTTGAGAAAGCGTCTGTATGCCTGGTGGTATAAGTATAATTTCGTCCTGAGTGCTGCCCTGGATTCCTCTGTTTCCGTCGCTGGGGTTGTTATCTTCTTTGCTATCTTTTTCTCTGGGGCTTCGTCGCATTTCAGTTGGTGGGGAACCCAGGTTTATAAGGTGAGTGTACTTTAACTCTGATATTGGATTTTGGTGGACTAGGAGAGTTGACAAGAAAATAGGACACATGTGACTGGAAAGGCTGCTCATATCTCCCCATCCCAGATAGCGGGAGGTTTGCATGATAGTGCTGAAGGGTATCGGTGATTCCGGCTGCGCTGGAGCTCCTCTGATAGAGGCATACGTATCAGAGGTTTTAATAGAATTGTTAAACGAAGAGGATGCTGGCTGTTGATAGCCGAGGCGATTATTGAAGTTGCTTATTGTACATACAATTTACTGAGTTGAATCAAGCATAATCGCAGGGTGTACATATACACGCGTCCTCTTATATTATATCGATAGATATCTCAACCTTCCACCACGGCTGCGTCGTAAGCGACCTTTAGTGCCCCCAAGGAGGCGCGACGAAGTAGACAATACCGTGCCCTATGGAAGCGGCGAGAGGCCCGACCTTGTGAAGACAAACAGGTTAGACATGCACGTATATGTTCATCTCCCGTACATACCCAGTGAATCCAATGATATCCCGGAAAGCTGGTGGCTACATACACACCAAAGCACCGGGCTGGATTTAGCGCTGCCATCCAGGCAATGCGTCAGCATATCCGTTCTTTTCAAGTTGACCAATAGTTGATGTGCCTATGGTATACTCACAAGCCCCACCAAAGCCATTCCGGGTGTAGGAGGAGCCCCAACTCACAACACCCAGAGCCATCCCTACTAGGAAGGGGGACAGCGCAGCGCCATAGATAGAACCCTGTCTTGGGTCCAGACCAACGCCAAAAGAGAGGAAAACCAGCACTAAGCAAAAGATAAATTCGAGCAAGAATGCCTCGTCTACAGGTACCAGACTCGTGTCCACTGTACAACCTCCTACGGTGAAGTCCCTGGACCCATACGCGCTTCGAAACATAAACCCGGCCAAAGCACCGCCAAGAGTCTGGCCGAGAAGGTAAATAACCATTCGAGGAAGTGATATTAACCGGGCAAAGAAGGTAGCCAGCGTAATGGTCGGGTTGAGATGACTGCCACTGACGTTTGAAAAAGAGAAGATGAACAGAGTCAGGAACAGCCAATTGCCAATACCGCCGAATAGTGGACCCAGGAATGTCGAGGTGGAATATACGCCGGATGGTGAAGTTGTACTGACATTCGTCGACGCGGAAGCTGGTCGTACGGCCATCCAAGCGGTCACAAATACCATCATCATAGTTCCTGGTCGGTTAAGTAAGTTTTCCTGTAATTGGAGGTTTAATGCCCGTCTTGACAGCGCTCACCCATGCATTCGATGAAGCCAAACTTCCAGAGGTCAATGTCCCAGAATCCACGCAGGTCGAATCCTTCATGAAACGTCATCAGCGGCGCCGCATCGGGCACCTTCTTCAAAAGGTCCGCATTGCCAGGATCGGTGCGGTCGACTACAAGCCCTTGGTTACCACCGATTCTTCCGGCGAAGGGCTGTATAACGGGCCTAGGACGAGGCATGTTGCCACTGTGTGGGAAGGTAGTGGTATCCATGATGGCAGGATACACGTCTTGTTGGAAGGGTCAAATACTCCTATTATATTCCTGACCTCCGAATATAAGCCAACACAGCACGATGTGATTATAGATAGATTTAGCTTCTCCGCGTGGCTGTGGTCAGCGACTCTCGGGCCCTAAATCTTGAATGACCTCACCACTATCGGTGCCGCTCATTCACCGCCTCGACCTTCACAAAGAACCACGAGTGTTCCTATCTCTCAGAGCTCAATCTCCTAAAAGCTGGAGAGAGCACGATTTGTATTGTAAATTAGTCTGAAGGCCCCTTATCCTAGCTCTTATACGTTTCAAAAATTAGCGGCACCTGATACTGCTTTAGCCTCGAGTTTAAGTTTGACTAGTTTGTTGAAGCTCACATAAGGATTAGATAAAGCTTATATCGGGATTAACTAATAATCACTTAAAGCCCTCATACGATCCCGCTGTTGGACCAAGGGAGTTACATATGCTTTCATATTTAACGTCACCGACTCACTGGTATAGAGTTTCCACTGACTGTCCTGTGAACACCGTATGTAGAGGGGTCTTGACCACTTATTTCTATCATAGGCCCATGGTGTGCCATTCATCGAACTTCTATCTGTCATGATTATGATGATGATACAATCTTCACCAGTCTCTCGAGGATTCAATCTGAGGCACAGCTACCGTCGAGCGCGGAGTGACTCGTCCATAACATACGGTTGGTCCAATGGTGTTGGGGCTGGGGCGTGCAGGTGTGGCTATGGAGACGAAGAATTATGAAGAATTGGGCTATAGACACGCCTTCAGATGTCAATTCCTATAGTGTCAATGTATCTTGTACACTCACCTCTGACTTGCAATGTAGATGCCTTTATAATGGCAACAAAATGATGTGCAGAACGTAAGTCGTGGCTGATATCTCCAAGATGTCTAGTAAAGGTTACCTAGCACCTGTTCTGAGGCTCTGGCTTACCGTTTCTAAGGCTGGTAGTAAGGGATTCTCTTCTTGTTCTTGTCCTGGGAAGGGTGCTAGATCTGAGCAGTGTAAGAGGTTGTTACAGACACATTTCCTAAGTATATATACTTTACACGCAGCGTTAAACAAAATGATCATACCGCCAGTCGAACCTTACATGGGTAGCCTTGGGCGGGATGCGCCGCTCCTTTGGCCACCAGATAAGCCCTCTCTCCGAACATGGTCCGCACTGCCCCAGACCCTGGATTCTCGCGATCCCACGCCTCATACTGACTTTCAAAGTCGAACGCCCGGACCACCATGGCCAGCGTGATCTTGATACCCAGGAATGCCATGTTCTGCCCTACGCAGTCTCGCGCCCCGCGCTCAAAGGGCCGCCACCCGCCCGTTGGTGGATAGAGCTCATGCCCGGGCTCGACAAGCCAGCGATTGGGAATAAATTTGTGCGGATAGGGCCAGTAACCTGTGTTCCGTTGGATAGCGGTATGTACAATCCAGACCGCGCAGCCATCCACCGGGAAAGTCCTTCCATCAGGACTGTGGGTGTCTGTGAGAGAAACACCCGGTCGCGAATCGGAGGCCGTTGGCTGGGGGAAAGAGACGCAGCGTCTCCTTTATGACGGCGTGGGTATAAGGTATTTGGTTAATCATCTCGGGATGCTGTTTAATCTGCGTGGCAACGCTAGTTTTGGAACCGAAGATCTGCTCATGTTCCAGACGGATCTTGGCCAGAGTATCGGGATGTTTTGAGAGAAGGTAGAGGCAGTAGATAATAGTTACAGCCGTTGAGTCGTGGCCGACGAAAAGAAAAAGGCGAATTTGGATAGTGGCCCAGGACTTAAATTCCGGGTCCAGGGTCGAGTTGTAGGTTTGGCTCTTGGGTCGGGTCTTCATATACTCAGCAATTACGATGTCCATGATAGACTTACCCCGGGCTGTGGCTTGGTCTTGCTGCAACCATTCCTGGTAGCGCTTTTCCAGCTCCAGGCCGATGTAGTGGTCCATGGTACGGCTGTTACGCCATTGACGATACAACCGGTAGACGTTCCAGCGTCGAAAGGGGTTGTTCTCCCCTTCTCGGCCGCATTCCAAATTAATGGTATCGCGCATTGCAGCGGCGATGGGGTTGTGTCCAGTCTGGTAGTTGAAGCGCGTGTTCCTGTCGGGTCTGTCAGTGACTGTGTTCAAGCATCACGCCAGAAAAGAGCGTATTACAATGTGATGTTACCAATGACATCCATCATATAATTACAAGCAAGCTGGTCCATCGAGAAGGTGTCGCCACTCTTGGCGAGGTCGCGGAGCATCCCAACATAGATCTCTGCTTCTTCCAGGATATAGTCCACGTGGCCCAACGTCGCCGTCATGCTAAAAGCGTGGTTGAACAGATCACGATCATGCTTCCACTCTGCCCCATTGGTCGTGAAGAAATTATCCCCGCCCGTCATGGGGTTGATAAATGGGGCCAGGAGGTCGGTCGGCTTGGGCAAATTATAGGTCTGGCAGGCCTGCACGGCGAGAGGGGGGGTGGTTGTGACGAACATTGGGCACATAAATGGCCAGAGATCGATATAGAATCCGTTTTGCAGACCTGGGTGCTCCATCGAGAGGAGGGCAAATGACTGGGATTGTAAGGCATCGCTGGGACACTCTCTGGCGAGACCCGGCATGAGTCGCAGATTTCCCAAGATAGGATCCCAGGGAGGCATTGGCTATCAATGGTTATTCGAAATCCATGGATAGTAGCGGTCTTCACGTACCATCCCTTGTCGCTTGAGGCGATAAAAGCGCAGTCGCACCTTGACCATCTTGTAGAAGAACGAGGTGAGGCAGACCGCCACCAATGCGATGGTGATGCGGCCGCCGAGGCCGTCTTGTCGAAACTTGGGACCTTGCATTAGGAGTCAGAAAGAAAGACAGAAGATGAGAAGAAGACGACGGAGGCAAGGAGGGAAGAGAAGAAGAGGAGGAAAGAGAAGAAGAAGAAGAAGATGAAGAAGGAAGGAGCAGACTAGGGGAGGGGAATTAGACAAAGCCGGCTGAATGGAGAAAACCAAGGCTTGTCTAGTAGCTCGGAAGGGAACAAAGGCACTAAGCACCGGCGTCTGGGGCCCGCCAGGGGGTAGACTAATATAGGCCGTTTAGTGGCTGTTCTTAGGGCTTATGTCGAAGCAGGTACAGGGGATGGTCGTATGGTAAGATATCGGTATCAGCGTTGTGCCCAACACCTCCGATTGCACCCGCGGCTACAGGGATCTCGTCAACACCAAATGATCTACGCGAAAATGAGGCGATTGATTCAGGGACGAAATACTGCCAGGGTTCCCCAACCATTTATCCATGTCGGGGATTCCCCCCCCTCCGAAACTGGTCTTGGAGCTGCCTTGGTGTGCTGCTCTTTAAAGCGCATGCCAGACATCTCCTTTGACATAGTTGTGGCTCTCACCTCTGAACAATCAAAGCGTCACAATGCAGCCCCAAAACAATGCAGGACGAATCCCTCACGATTCTATCATCGTGAGTATTTTTGACTCCGGTGCTTCTATCTCCGTCTAACCCCCGGTCCAGATTCTCCATCTCAGTTCTCCTCGCCCCGGCAGTCCTGGGCGTAGTTATGCGACTGTTTATCCGTTTCCGGGTGCAGAGACAACGACTCTTTGTGGATGATTGGTTGCTTGTGGTGGCTCTGGTTTCCTACTTGCCAGTATCGTCATCATGTACCGCCAGGTGATCGACCCGATGTATCTTCTCGTGGCAATGCAGCTTGAGGTCAAAGGCGTGGCTATCCCGGCTGATATCGTCGACGTGGGCTATATGTACCACGAGTGGAGTGCGATTTGCCTGACCATCTCCTGGTGCACATTCGGCGCCGTCAAGTTCAGCTTCCTCTTTTTCTTCAAGCCACTCATCGATCGGATCAAGCCCTGGCAAATTTACTGGTGGGTAATTACTATTTATATAGCCGCCGTTCTTCTTTACGGCTCTTTGATCTTTTTTTCTCAGCTGCCCTTATTACTACGACTCGAGGCAATGTAAGAAAGCCGTCGACATAAGATTAGTTTGACGCTAATGCGAGACAGACACATGTTCGGTTGGGTCTAAGAAGGGAGTGGTCGTGACAGAATCTATCGTCCTTATGATGTTCGATACCGTTGGAGACTTTTTGAGTGAGTCTGACAGAATGCGGGCGCGCATTTCATAGATAACGCATGTCAGTTCTCGCAATTCCCATCCACATTATTTGGAAAATCCGGGTCCCACGGTCTCAAAGAATCATCCTGACGGCGTCGCTATGCCTAACAGTCATCATGATCGTCTTGTCGATTGTCCGGGTCTCTGGACTTGCCTCCCGTGATATAGTGGATACCATTTGGGAAACATACTGGCAGTTCCTCAGCGCCGAGGAGGGAGTATTCCTAGTGGCGGCAGTATCATTTCGTTCCTTCTTTGTGGCGCAAAGCCGATCACGCATACCCCCTTACAACTCGGTCAACCCTGAAAAGACCACTCTTTAGAAGCTACTCCTCAATTCCTTGGCTATGCTGCGTGCCTACCATTAACTGCCGTAACTATGGATAGGACAAAAGCCGCCCCCCCCACCCGCGACCACTAGAGCTTCGGATATAGGCTTCGGACCGTGGAGTCGTACGGCAGCTTCGACAGGCCCGCTTGCTCAGGCCACTACCCTGGTTTTCAGTCGCTCAACTTTCGATGAGTGACGTCCAAATACTGAGCCCCCGCTGAAAATCTTTCACCCTGGTTGAGTCCACGTTTGCTCCTCAAGCATGCATCCCCGGCTCTCAGCGACAACGACATCACTTCGGCTCCCTAGCCTCGGGTTCTCAGTGCGGGTGAGATAGTAGGGACTGTTCTCACATTCTCCATTTGGACGACACCACTTTGGCTGGCTGACCTCAGGTCCTTTGTGCTATATATAGGGTCTTCGGAAACCGGAGTCATCGCTGACCCTCATCGATTGCTTCAGCAACCCGGAGATGAGACGACGCTCAGCCGAAATCAGGTCGGAAGGAAACAATAATCTTCCCAACCCAGGGTAATGTTACAATCCGGATACTACTCTCTCATTGTTTCAGCAAAACTGGATGTGAAACCAAGTGGACCAAAGACGGAACGAAGAGGAGCATTTATTTTCCTGCACTAGGATGACAGGCAATACTCTTTCGATGAGGTGACACAGTAAGTTAGGCCCGTTGTGACTAGGCATGGTAGTCGGTACGCTGGATTTCGCCAGAAGAATACTAATATAGCATAAGAACCAACGACTCAGTGTTACTCCTTTGAGTACGAATTGAAGATATCTAGAGCACCGAGTTTTAATATTGTGTACAAACAAAGTACTGTGATCCAGCTAGGCTTCTTCGCCTATATGTACCAGTCATAATAGTACGAAACTGTACGGTTCAGCCTCCCTTCTTTGAAATCCTCAGCCTATTTGACAGTCAGCAAAAGCCGTAGCTAGAACGCTAGAACTTACTAAGGCATCAACAAAATAGTCCACCAACTCAACCTCTTCTGCGATCCATTTTTGTTGTCTTGGTGAAAGATCACCCTCTGCCAATGTTTGGGCAGAATCAAAGTCTATCCAGAGTATCCTCTCGTACTCCCCCAAAGATACCATCATATTGCGGGGCTTTGGATCACCGTGAAGAACTTGTGCCCTGTGAATATCATCAAGAATCTCGCGGAGTTTAGCCAGCCGTTCTACTGAAAAGTTGGATAGATCTATTGACTGCAGATTTGGAATATACTCAATAAGAATAGCATTGGGGGGCAGTGTGTCGTCAAGAAACATATCAAGGTTTGGATCAATAGCCGGTGGAATATTTCTGATTATCCCGTAAAAATCTGGGATAATACCCCTCTTGCACAAGCCCTTCAATTTCAATCGAGAGTATGCAGTAGACTCAGAACGAAAGAGATTGACCTCGCGGTCAGGGGGATCGAGCTCAGACGGGCCTCTGTCATGATACTTTCATTATAAATACGAAGCCAGCAGATAAATACGAACATCTATACTTACCACTTTCAAGACACATAATCTCTCCTGGAAACTGACTTTGAAAACCACGGAGTATTTACTCTCCTTCAGCTTTTCGAGGAAGTCAATCTCAGATACGTTCACTTCAATCTCATTAGACATAAGGGCTATGTGGGGTTCGCAAGTAAACCGCGGACGACGAGGGTTGAACGTGAGTTGTGTGGGTGTTGGCTTTGCAACGTAGGTCGTCGAATGATTATATGAAGAATGCTCATCCCTTTCGAAGATGCGATGTTCTGTTGTTGCCTGAGGCACAGGAGCCAACTTGGCAATTCAAGGGCGGCACATCGCCGCACATGTGACTTCGCTCCTGGGCGCTTTCGGACTGCTCATTCAACTGCGATCGAAGCCAATCCCTCCAATATTGTGCCCTCATCGAACAAGGACAGTCACCACAGAACACACGATCGGAAATGCGGGTCATTGGGCACAATACGAGTTAAACACAAGTCACTGTTCAAGCTTCCTTGCATGAGAAAACGAGTTGTGTTGATTGCTGGACTGGCGCGCTGACGCCGCACGGGCAGGCAAGTGAGTGAGAGCTCGAAAAGTCCTTCGTGGCTTGGCGGTTGCGCTATCGGATCGAGATCAGTTGGTTCTCCTTTGCTCTCACTGGAGTTTGTGGCCGGCCTTGTTCTGGCTCCCTTCCTGGTTGATTGCTGCCGACCAATTGGACGGATTACCCAGACGGTCTTGTGTATTACGATGCTGCATTTGGACCGGCAACTTGTCCAGGGCTGTCTCCTGAGATCGGGTGCACGGTTGAGAACGAAAAGTGGATGTGGCGAATGTAAGGCCAAGCACCCAAACTTATAGTGGCAGCCCGTGTTAACTACAGGTAGGTCGGCGGCGCCGAAAGAAGTGTGATGAGAAACGTCCCCGATGCGGAGGCTGTACTCGAAATGATTTTGAATGTCGATGGCCCCCCGAGACCCAGACTGTTGACCGACGAAGGTATTCCTTGGCTTCAGGAACCACCACCACCACCAGCAGTGCAGGCGACGAAGCCCTTACGGGGCGTCCGGGACGGTCTCTCCCGCCGCCGGTCAGCATGCCTGTGCCATTTCACAAGAGCGAGCATCTGCGCATCTACCGGTACTTCGTGCACTCCATGTCCCCCAAACTTGTCCGGCAGACTTCCTTGTCCAGGTATTCCCAAGACTTCCACATCGTCCGCCTGGCACTGGTTCACCCACCTCTCATGGGAGCCCTAATTGCCCTTGCTGGAATGAAGATGTCATCGCAGTCATCCAATCTCCAGTCGCTGGCTCTACAAAGTTACCTGTTTGCCATCACAAGCCTGAAGACGGGTCTAATGGAAGGCCGACATACCGGTACTGAGGATTGGCTTCTGGCCACCACCACCTTGTTGTGTCTTTTTGAAGTAGGCGCCCCCCGGCCTTTGAAACCCTTGCTGCTCTGAGTGCCCCGGCTAAACACTGCATCAAAGAACTCTCGCTGCGATGCGATGCCGAATGCCAGGTCTCATGTGTTGGCCTCGGGCCAGATGTTGTCCCTGCGCAGGCCCAAACCCCGAAACGCCTCGCAAGAGGCCATTGTCTTCGAGCGCATTTGCGTAGAATCATTTCTGTACCACGCCGCTCTCCTGACCCTGTTTGATCCTTCCGTCAACTGCCTGCCTCTGATCAAGGGCGATTTAAATCTGGAGGGCTATTTTTGCGACCCGGATCATCCGGACGATGTCCCACCAGGGGCCCTGACGTCCACCCAGCCCGTTCTGGATGCGTCCTATAAGTTTTTTCTCCTGGTGCTTGATATTACAAAGCTGGCTCAATCGTTCCCCCTGACCACTACTGCCGAGGTTGAGACGTGGTCTCGATCGCAAGAGATGGTGGTGCATTGGGAGAAGTCGATCGACAACCAACAAACGTCCAACGCAGAGAACCACGTCGGAAGACTCTATACTGTGGCGATCCGAATTCTACTTGTACACGCAGATCCCAGGCGCTCCATGGTCGACTGGATCCAGTTGATGGAATCGTATCTTTTACGAGGCCTCGAGATCATTACAGCATTAGTTGTTGACGAGTGGTTTTCCTTCTACTATTTGTGGCCGCTATTAGTGGTGGGCTCAGTGGCCGTTCTACCGGAAGCGAAGCAGATCGTCCGAGCCAAGCTTTCCCAGGTATCAGACACACGGCAGGGCGGGCCTATTTCGCTGGCACAGTACCGCTTGCAGAAAGTCTGGAGATCAGGTGCTCGGAATAATGACTCTGATCATGGACAACTTATGGCAAGGCAACTGCGGACCTTGCTAATGGGAGACTGATAGCTCCAGGATTCTACTCCGAGATAACTGGCTTGTTTGTATGTGGACATTACAACTTGTCAAGCTTCACAAGCAAAATCCTATTCATCTAACTATGGGACACCAGTCCAAGGCTTAACTCATGGAAAGAGACGCCTTAGGAGGTACCACTCACAGATTAATCGTTACTTTGATCGCGGTGCTTACAGTCGCTGTATCCTGGACCAGCCTTTCGTCTACCTATGAAATATGGCAAGCCGTGGGTTTGAAACCGAATGCGCCACAGCAGAGGGCGGGCATGCGAATGGAGCCGGCGATATCTGTCCCAACGCCGAGGGTGGAGCCTCTCATCGCCACCAACGCTTCCTCTCCGCCGCTGCTCCCCCCAGCGGTTAGGCTCCGCCCGTGCGGGCTGAGAACACGACCGAAGACATTGTTATGGGGGTCGGGAGTCATTAGCACCTGGGGAACATTTGTCTTGACATAGAGCACAGCCCCGGAGTTGTTCAGGATTTCGACCCAGGCAGAACTCGTGGACGCGGGGGCCCGGTCGAGGAATCCGACGAACCCAAGCGTAGTTGGAGCACCGGGGACATTGAACGACTCCTTGATGCGAATGGGCAGTCCATACAGTGGCCCTGCCCTGGTTCGAGCAAAAGTTTCCTTGAGCTGCTTTGCTCTGGCTGGGGCTTTGTCGAAGAACATCTCCGCCAAGCAGCAGGTGATCTGCTGCGCAATTGCAGCCCGCTTGCAGAATGCTATCGTGACCTCGACGGAGCGGAAGCCTCCGCTAGCCAACTTTTCCAGTAGCCCTGTGGCATCGTAGTCCTCGGTAATGTGGACTTCTTTCTCGGTTAGGAGTCCTGGGCACGTCGAAGAAGTTGACCGACGAGTTGAGAAGAATATTGGCTGGTCAAGTCCACTCTGGTGGAATCGCTGCTGCAGTCTGAGCTGGCTTCCTTTTGCTCCCACGTTGTGATCGTCATATTTGAACAGGGTGCCGGTTCAGGTTGGAGCCTTGGACTTGGGGGTTTGAACTTTAGAAACGGACTTTGGAACGAGTGGCAGCACGGGCCTTTGTTGACTCGCATATCAAGCATGTCGGGCCATTGCGTCCAGGGATTTTATAGTGCCAGAACTGGGAGGCAGATCATGACCGAGGTCCTACCCAGGTCAACCGAGTTGTATGACCGGCTCGGCCAATCGACCAATCAGATCGTTTTGCGCCGTCCCACTGTGACTGGTATGAATTAGCCTTCCACTACGGATTACTCCCAGTACACGAGGTGTGTCGGGATGGACAGGACCCCCGTCGTCTGTAGACTGTAGGATGGATATCCGCATTCAGTGTATCCATCTCGCCGCACACACGCGATTCACCGGTCTTGTGGGGGTCCACCACGTCTCTGACAGTGCCTCGTTGAGGAGATATATATAACAGCCATTTTCAAACGGGCTCAGCTGGTTTGCCCTCCGAACCTACATCTGACTTGCATCGTCGGCAGATTGCTCGCATTATGGAACACCACCGTGATCAAGTCAAGCGAGTGATCAGTGAGTATCTCGCTGGCATAGACGACTCATTACGACGAGTCAATCTCACTGTAAGCGCATTCTCCCTTGACGGCCCAATTCCCACCCTTGCGGTCCCCCAAACCTGACATCCAACCTTCTTGGCTAGATACACAACAACCCCGAGCTTGCCTACGAGGAAAAGTACGCGCATGACACTATCAGTACATTCCTGGAAAACTTGGGCGTGTCGGTGACTCGCAGTGCGTTCGGGTTGGCGACCTGCTTTGAGGCGACGGGTGGCTCGGGGGGACGCTGCGTCAACTTCAACGCCGAGCTCGATGCCTTGCCTGGGATCGGGCACGCGTGCGGGCATAACCTCATAGCTACTGCGAGTGTGGCAGCCTTCCTCGCCCTGAGACATGCCATGGCCGAATTTGCCGTGCCGGGTCGAGTTCAACTGCTGGGGACCCCGGCCGAGGAGGATGGCGGCGGCAAGATCGATCTGTTGAAGCGCGGTGCGTACGAGAAGTCCGACCTCTCATTGATGGTGTAAGTGACTGGCCTCCCTGGCCTCCCTGGCCTACCAGGTATCGTGTTCTGATCGAAGAACTATTCAGGCATCCCATGGCCGAATCCAGCTTTCGGGACCGCGGTGTCATTGGCGCTGCTGGCCAAAAGTCTATCGCTTGCGCCGATCTGGTGTGCACATATACCGGCGTGAGTGCCCATGCAGGCGCGAATCCTTGGGAGGGAGTGAATGCCCTGGATGCCTTTGTGACAGCGTACATGAACGTCTCCACTCTGCGCCAGCAGATACAGCCACAGGAACGAATCCATGGGACGATTCTGGAGGCTCCAAAAATCACCAATGCGATACCGGAGAAGACAGTGGCAAAATTCTCTGTTCGAAGCCCCACACTGAGTAGTCTGGCGGCCCTGAGTGACCGTGTACGTCACTGCTTGCAGGCTGGAGCGCTCGCAACCGGGTGCCATGCGGTCTTCGAGGACACCCCTGCATACGCCGACCTGCGTGTTAACCCCCCTCTGTGTGCGGAATACTGCCGGTCTATGGAAGAGCAAGGAGAGAGGCTGTTGTTCGAGGCGGAGGAGGTGATGACCGGGTCGACCGATCAAGGGAATGTCAGCTATGCCCTCCCAGCACTGCATGCGATCATTGGCATCCCGGTTCCCAACGGCGCCCAAAATCATACGCACGAGTTCTGCGTAGCCTCGGGCGAGGTCGCTGCCTACCAAATCATTCTGAAAGCTGCAGCAGCGATGGCCATGACCGGTTGGGCTTTCCTGACGGACGATTCGTTCTTTGTGAGAGTTAAGGAGGCGCACGAGCAGGCTGTCAATTAGATAGGAGAGCAAGCGTATAGATTCCACATTACTGCCGGAGACCAATGAAAACCAGACGCTCGCTTTCACTTTTGCTAGTTCGACCCACCCAAGATCAATATACTCCGTAGCACCTACCGAACCAAGAGAGCACATGCGGCCAAGGTCCTCGGCGGGGAGACAAGTGATCCCACCCCACAGATTCCAGGTCTACTTCCGGGCCGGCCCAGTGGAGCCGGCCAGCAGAGTGCAGCCTGTCATATCGTTTAGCGCGGTGGAGGTCAGTGCTTACTTCCCCGGACTGTCTCCCGGGCTGCGCACCCCCGGCATTAGAGAGCGCCCTTGAAGCCGTATCCCCCGCACACTCCCATGGGGGATTATCTTTGTGTCAGGACCGACTACTATCTATAAATGTGGCCGAAGCTCGCTAGCGCTGTGGATAGACCGATTGGTCTTTGTCCTCTTTGCACGCTTTCGTGCATCCCGACCTCGTACGCATCTATACATTTGCTCCCCGCGATGTCTTCCGCTGCAGACTTTCCTGATGATGGCAAGGTTGAGAAAGGCCAAGGCCGGGGTGATCAGCTATCAGTGGTGCAGATGGGAAACGTAGCGGATCTCGCGAGCCCCGAAGCAGATAACATCCGCTGGAAGATTGACTGTGTGCTGCTTCCGTTGCTAGGCGTTTGCTACATGCTCCAGTTCCTGGACAAGCAGAGCCTAAGCTACGCATCCCTACTGGGGATCCTGGAAGATGTCCAGCTGGTCAACCGCCAGTTTTCGTGGACCGCGTCGATCTTCTACTTTGGCTTCATCTTCTGGTCCTATCCGACGGTGTATCTTTCGGTCCGATTGCCGATTGGGAAGTACCTTAGCTGTACCGTGTAAGTGGCCCTCGACCTATCTCAGCTCGGAGAATGCATGCTAATTCCCCCGGTTGTGCTTTTAGAATCCTATGGGCGGCTGTCCTCATGTGTCATGCGGCATGCCGCAGCTTCTCTAGCCTCATGGTCACTCGTTTCTTTCTCGGAGCGTTCGAAGCGTCCATCGCTCCCGGGTTCTCGCTGATCACAGGAAAATGGTATACGCGCAAAGAGCAGCCTCTCCGCTACGGGCTCTGGTTCGCGGGATCTGCCGTGGCGAGTCTCTTCGGCGGCCTAGCCGCATATGGGATTGGGCACCTCAACGGTCCTCTTGCCCCATGGCAATACCTGTTCCTTATATTTGGTGGGACGACTGCCTTCTGGGGCATGGTGATGCTTGTCCTTCTTCCCGACAGCACCAACAATGCCCTGTGGTTGCGAAAGACCCAGCGACAAGTTGCAGCACATCGTGTGCGGGAACCCTCGCCGGAAGCGCAGGGTGGCACCTACAAACCCTACCAGGTAGTGGAGGCTTTCAAGGACCCCGTTACTTGGTGCCTATCGCTCTACTCATTCAGCGTCAATATCGCAAACGGTGGTTTGACCTCGTTCGGCTCTCTTGTGATCCAGGGATTCGGCTACGAGGGGATCCAAGCCCTACTCATCCAAATGCCGACCGGCGCAGCTCAGTTGGGCTTTATTATTGTCGGTGCCGTCATATGCTCCTACTTCCGAGACGTTCGGACTATCGTCATCTTCAGTTTCGCCGTCATCAGCATGATGGGCATGGTGCTGATGTATGTGCTGGATGAGAAGAACCAATCCGGCCGCTTGGCCGGTTTCTGTCTCAGTCTCGCCTTTTCGGCGAGCATGCCCATCTCCTTGTCGCTGGTCACGAGCAACGTGGGCGGAATGACCAAGAAGGCCACCGTCAATGCATGTGTGCTGGTCATGTATTGTGCAGGGAACATCGTCGGCCCACAGTTCTTCAACGTCCGGGATGCACCGAACTACCCCAAAGGCATCCGGGCCAGTCTGGCTGGGTTCTGTCTGGGGGCGTTTTTCATCGCAGTGCTGCGGGTGTACCTGATGTGGGCGAACGCACGACGTGGCTGGCAGCCGAGCGGCGCAGAGAGCATCGTGTCCGACCACGAGGATAAGACGGACTGGGAGATTCCTTCCTTTCGCTATGTTTTGTGAACTGGGGAATTTGGATCTATGATATCCAGGCAGCGGGCGAGTGTACTCTACCGCAGTTGGGGATTATCTTATAGCTCCGGCTTCGCGGATACCCAGATGGGTAGCCCGAAGTGTGAGCTATAGTAAATCCGGTAGCATAGAAGATATTACCTTTTACGCATAACAATATATTCAGCATTTTGGAGGCTATGGGGCTAGTTGTTGGTGTACCTTTATCGTATCACACTATTGGCTTAGTTACTTTTTCTAAGATTCTAGTGCCTGCGGGGTATGTTTCTAGGTTTGGTCTGCTCCGGAGTAGTACTCCAAACAGCACTGCAAGAGAAATATCAACCACTTCCTCTAATCTACCCATATCACACGGTCAACCCAGGTCGGACTGCATCGGAAAGAAAATTAGAAAAGCCTCGCACAGGGCAGAGATATGAACCTGGTTTCCCGGGAGAAACTGCCTTCAGTGTCCTCTGATGACTGCCCAGCAGCCCCATATTACTTCGTGGAGTTCCCGGAGAGTTCCCGGAGAAATTGATAGCACCCCGACTTTTGGAGACGAGCACAAACCATCAAGGCATTGTGGGGCTAATGTTGGGGTTTGCATTTTGGAGACATCAGACAGTTGGGGTAATGATATCGTATAAAGTTATCTCCCATGAGTCAAATCTGTGCTGAGAATGCTCCAGAGTTTCCCAGGTTACTTTCCCCTGACAAGACTTTGAGAAGCAAGATACAAAATGCCCACGATTCCTGCCCGTCGGTTTGCGATGCAGCGACTGCGCGTCGGCCAGTCGATCAAGGTCATTGACTCCTCTGGAGGTCAGGTTATCGACACTTGGGCCTTTGCCATTCCCTCAACGCCGACCTTTCCACGATACATGTCAATGACCCATACTCGGTCCACCCTGCAGAAGCTTCTTCCATCCGTGAACGAATCATTCCTCGACAACAAACGGGATCCTATTCTGACGCTGGTTGAGGACACCTCTCCCGGCGCACACGACGTTCTCTATGCGGCTTGCTCTCCGGAACGCTACCTCCAACTTGGTGGCGACAAAGACCACGATAACTGCGCCAACAATCTTCGCAACGCTGTACGGCAATGCACAGAGCCATCATTCAGTCACGTCGCCGGGTTTCTCGAGAGTGGCTGGATGCCCGATCCCCTGAATCTATTCATGAAGGTCGGTATCGATGGCACCAAGTTGCAATGCTTGGACCCGGATAGCAAGGCGGGGGATTATGTTATATTAAAAGCGGAGCAAGAATGTATGGTGATTATGAGTGCTTGTCCGATGGATTTAAGTGCTTGTAACGGGGGTGAGCCCAGCAGTGCAGACTTCGAAGTTCTGGGCGCGTGAATAGCTGGCTCGTGAGGCACTTAGATCAATACATGTACTCATATTGATATTGAAATTTCAAAGTTGTGTCAGTCTGCTGCCCTAGGCGAGACATAGGGAATGCCATCGATCACAAGTAGAACACCGCAATAGCATCGCGTAAGCTAGTAACCACGAGGATATCACCGTTGCCGTTAAATCATGTAATACCTTTCCGTTCATAAAATATATAGCCTACTATTATTCCCATTAATTCGTTTAAAAAGTATATCACTGCGAGGAAAACATAGCATCTATAACTGCTAGATAGCACAAAATATAGAGGTTATTTACCGCTCCATGGAATACATTACATATTTATTGCACGTCCATATATTGGTTTGGGATGGCCCATGGAGTAGACACAAAATACCCTCCTAATCGTCCTGTGGAAATCTCGCGCCACCCTGCACCCGTATCTCATCCAAAATCTGCATGACCCTCAGAGTCCCTCTACTCTCGCGAAGATATCATCAGTCTTATGCAATAATGTGGAGGAGATGAGGGCATGACGACCGGTCTCTGCATAGTGCAGCACCGTAGCAGTACTAACATCTACCCCTTGTAACCGTAGCTGGGGAGTATCGGACTTGCCTTACCCAGTAGAAGATTAGCATTCTATTTCTAGTACGTCTACAGCATATTTTGGACTTGCATCACCTCGTTGTCTATTGAAGATACCGCAATACTCCTTTGGTCTTGAAGCCGGTGGTCTTTAGAAGTTTATACTCTCACGTTCATCCAGCCTCTGCCTTGAGCCAGCTAGTTGAACTACACCTCTATGGGAGGCTGTATAAGCAAGATGAAGAAAACGCAACTTATAAAAAGCCATATAAGACGCACATGGGAAATTCAATTACCGGACGTATGGCAAGTTAACAGACGCATAAAATACAGGCCCATAGCGAAGCTGGCAAGGCGCTTGATCTCGTGTCGGCGGTTTTCTCAATGCCTCATCATACAGGCTTCATGCAAGAGCATGCTCGACGTGTCCAGTAGCCAGGATTTATGCTCTTGACACCGCAAATCTGTAAGATGCCAAGATGTTTTGACTCGTCACTTGAGATGGTTCAGTATTGTTTAGACTTTCTTCGCTCCCCATTGCTCTCCTGCTACAGCAGATTCAGGACACGCCTCAAAGACGGGTATCTTGCGGATTATATTAATTGAAACTGTATTTGGCAACCGGTATGTTTTTTTCTAGGGGTTCTAACTGCCATCTAACGTTCCACAGAAAGACATGCAAAAAGTCATCGCATGTCACAAACAAATCAGAAAAATAAGCAGCATTCTGAGAGGATAGGAGAAGATTGATATGAATCATGCACCAGTTCTGATAATATCCGCTGCTCTCTCTGCCACCGCATACACCGTAGACATGATATTTGCTGCGGGAATCAGAGGAAAGATACTGGCATCACAGACACGCAGGTTCGTGGTTCCATAGACACGCAAATTCTCATCTACCACCCCTCCTTTCTCCCGAGGAAGCATAGCCGCTGTACCACTGGAATGGTAGGTAGTAGTGGCTGTATGGCGGAGATACTTCTTTGCGGATTCAAGATCTGTGAGGAAAGCGTCGGGGTGATTCCGTTGCCCGTCGACCACCAGATATTCGGAAATAGGCTTTAGAACGTGGAGTCGTTCCATGTCCAATAGATTACGGGCCATGAGATCCAAGTCTAATGGGTTTGAGAAGTAGTGAGGATCGATTATCGGGGGCCCGTCAGGGTCCGAAGAGGCAATGTGCACTGTTCCGCGAGAGAAGGGAAGACTTTGGGAGAGGCCCAAGCTTAGAAAGTTTCCAGGCATGAGCTCCTGGCCAACGAAGCTCTTGCCGGTTTGATGAAGGTTCGCCTGAGCAAGGAACATAAACATCGAGCAGATTGGTGCATCCCTCTCCGCGTAAATGTCTCGGATCACCCGATCCCGATCATCTGGGTGGCCGAGGAAACTATCGAGATGGGCCCGCTTAGCTTCCTGTTGCCCGTGATAGTCAATGATAGGCATATAGCCACAGGACTGCACGCCTCCTACGGTCATGGGTCCTTCTTTGTGCTCTGCATAGAGTTGCATCGCAGTCTGAATCGCGCCTGGTTCCTGTCGCAGCAGTGGATCACCGGTCATAACCCCCGGCTTCACCTCGAAACTGATGCCACTCATGAGATGGTCCTGGAGATTCTCACCGACATTGGGGTTTTCGATCACTACAGGGATACTGAATTGGCCGAGAATAGCTCTGTTTCCGATTCCAGACAGTTCAAGCAGTTTCGGAGTGTTGAGAGCGCCGGCAGTAAGAATGACCTCCTTCTTGGCTTTAATGACGATCGTTTGCCCTTCGACATTCGCTTCCACCCCGGTAGCCGTTGCTCTCGAATCTTCCTGGGAAAGAATGATTCGACGAGCGACTGCATTTGTGATAATACGAACGCTTGGTCGCTGCATAGCTGGGAGACCATACCCGGTAGCTGCATAACTCCGTGTCTTTGTCTCTGCATCGACGGCCGCCAGGTTGGAGTAACCGCCAATAGACACACCCGAGAAAGGATCAGCTGTGACTCCATATCCCATCTCGTGAAAGGTGTCAACCCAGGCCTTAGAGAGCGGATCTTGTCGCACAGCGGGGAAAGAGACCTTGATCGGACCCGAGTCTCCATTCACCTTCGGGTCAACCCAGCTTATCCCGATATGGTCACGAGTGGCTTCATCTGGAAGCTGTAGCATGTAGGCCTTTTTATCGTACGGGGAGAGAGTTTCCCAGGTCCAACTGGTGGCGCCGAGCTTGGCCCAGCCATCAATTCCCGCCTTCGTGGGTGCTACAAAGGCCTGGCCATTGATGCCAGATGAGCCACCGAGCAGCTTGCCCTGAGGTTCCTTGATGACTCGGTCGCCTAGGCCAGCCTGATAGCAGAAGATTAGCATCTCTCTGTCTTGTCGTCCGCTCTGATGCGGGAGGCTTAGGCAGACATACCTGCGGCGTGGATTCAAACTGCCAATCCGCTTCAGACCCCATTAGAGTGGTCCAGAGGGCAGGGGTCTGAACACGAGGATCCTGGACGAGGTTCTTGCCAGCCTCCAGAACGATAACAGAGTGGGTGGCATTTCCCTCGGACAATCGAGCGGCGAGCACTAGCCCGGATGCCCCCCCCCTCCGACAATCACATAGTCTGCCTCGGAAGGCATGTCCAGCTGAGATGCCATTCTTTCTGAGGTGGTGAAAGGGACGGTGTCACGGAAAAAAAAGAATATTTGCGTTCGAGCTTTTGTCTCAGCAGGAAGTGTGGATGCTCTCTGACCAAGCGGGCTGCCACCGCGGCCTTTATAGGCGGATGGTGGCTGCGGCAACCGCGTCTAGCGAGACAGCAAAGACACAGAAATACGGAAATACAGAAATTTAAGAAATCTGGGCCACCCATCCGAAGTGTAGTACCATCTCTTTGGGTGTGGGTGTGTGTGTGTGTGTGTGTGTGTGTGATGTCGGCACTTCGAGTCGAAGCACTTGTCCAACTGGATATGAATGATTTTACATTCACAGTCCTGGACGACGGTTTATACCGGCTCCTCGAGATTAATCTTGGGATCGTCAATTTCTGTCTTCCCCTTCTCCGGCCCATGGTCGCTCGAACAAGGCTTGGAATCAAGACCAGTTCCCCGCAGAGCCTAGGGCAGAAACTCATCCATGAGCCGTCTCATCTGAGGAACCAACAGGCACTTGGCGGAGAAAGCACTGACAGCATTTCCTTGTATAGGATCTCGGCTCGTAATCGAGGAGACCATAGTAGTGCTCGTACTTGAAGGAACGCTTTGGCTTGATAGTACCCTGCGTGATTACCCGGTATCAAGTTGAAGCTCCTTGGCAGCCTGGATGTATGTTTTCTTATGATTCAAGTTTCTACCATTTCTCAACACAGAGACTGCATAAAATGGTGGGCCATCCACACCAGCTATGGGATTAATAAACTCATCAGAGCCGTTGATACATACTGAAGTGAACTCGGTCACAAAACAGAACGCCGATGATTTCAAATATAATCAAGGAACATCGTTCTTCAATTGTCACCCCCCGTTCAGCCCCGAATGTATCTAGTACCATTTACCTATTAACGTCATGACTCCCCACTGGAGGCTCTCCGATCTTACACATGTTAAGATATACCATCACAGGAGAGTTTGGGGCCCTCTTGAGTACCCAGGACCCCTCTCCACCGAGGACTGTTGGTAGAACCTCTCCCCACAATCTGGTGAGAAAGGTCAGCCCGATAGTTGCGCCAAGCGATGAATCCTTATACACTAAAACAGCCACAGTTGCCAATGATAGTGAAGTACATCACATCTTTTATAAGCACAGCATCCCCATCTCCGAGTCCCCGTGAACTCGCGGCCCGAGACTATCAAGCAGTGCAGTTGCTCACCCTGATCTACGCCGCCTTCTCCCCAAACACAACCCACGTCTGCAGCGCCCCTACCGCAGCAGTAGCAATCCCATTAACATGAACCGCTCTCTTGAAAAACCAACCTGAACTAACCCAGACAATACCAGTCATGAGCGCAGTAATTGCACGGTTGAGGGGAAACTTTAAAGCCGCTGCGTTTTCTACCCAGTGAAAGTTGAAGAGAGCTAGAGTGGCAATGACAGATATGAGTCAGTTCAGACCTTTCATTGAGAGCTATAATTCAATACACGCCTATTAAGACGAGAAGTGCGCTTCCTTGGTACCATCCCGCGCTGCTGCACATGAAGGGGACGTTAGGAAGGGCTCGGAATTTAGGATCTCGTCGGAAAAGCCCGGCCAGCGAGCTACACCGTGCGTTACGAATTATTAGCCTCATAGTAGTTGGTAGTACACCGCCTGGGAGGAACGTACAGTATGTCCAACAGACATGAGTATCCAACCGGCCGCTGTACATCTGAGAAGCGTTGGGCTAGTACGTTGCAATGTATATCAAGGCCGGGCCGACTATTATGTAGCGAGCTTTCCAAGGAGCCCTCGGCATTCGCGAGGTGCCGAAATGTCTCGCCAAATATGTAATTCGCAAAGCGATGGATTATAAAATGTAAGATACGGTAATATTTCACTTGATGGCCTTTGATGCCATTGTCAAAGACTAAATCACTTAACAAACACTGTAAAATAGCATTAATTATTAAGACTGCTGATAAAGCTAACTAACCTTGCCCTAACTGGTTAACTAACTAAAAAATGGGCTGACGCATCTGAGCGTGCGCTCAGGTGTACAAATCATACACATATCCTTCTTCTTTCCCACTCTGCCATCTACTTGACATCGAGACCAGATCGCTAGAGTGTAGTTTAGTGGAGTTCAATTTGAAGCACAACTTCAATATTCCCCCTCGTGATTTAACCTAGCCCAACAATTGAGAGCAGATCGTGCAACATGGTAGCAAGGACCATCATGCCATTTGCTACAATAGTTTTCGCACTTGATGTATCCCTTCAAAGGAAATATCGCCATTCTTCAGTGTTATTCGTAGCTATATCGTTCAGTCTCTTATCCAATTTAGTTACTTGTACAGAAGTGACTAATGATCCTATACCAGCAGGGTTAGCATGGCTTTAATAGCGGTCTAACCTTTAGCAATCTAGCAATGTCTCACAAAGTATGTCTCTCATCCAAGGATCTTCAGTGACCAGATACTTCAACCAATATATATGTCCACATCTTGAATAATTTAAACTAAAATGGGGTATGAACTATCCTAACGGAGGAAAATATACTCGTGCGCCGACGTAAATTGGCCCGGAACGCCACTGCGGATCCGGGAAATGACAACTTGATCAGATACATCCCGTGCTTTCCTCCCCCAGCAGTTCTCTCATCTAGATTGTGACGAGATCGTGGAGTACCATGGGGTGCCGTTAATACGCTAGTTAATTGATGGGGTTATTTTGACCGAAACGGATAGTTTTATTTCTGTTAGGGCGCTCATCAAGATACGATCGCAATATGGAATTGACGCCTACGAAGGTTCTACTATTTTATAAATATTATAATGCACCGAGTAGTCTTATATAATTGTTGCTAACCGCTGGAAGCAGTATATGCAGCAAAAATGCTGCAGTGGCGCCGTATTTTTTATTAATAATGATTGTTATATAGTTAACTATATCTTTGGCTCACCTACACAGTGCGGCGCTAATGCAGACAGGTAATTCGAGCAAATAACCAAAGCCCTTAACTCGTCGGCCGGGTGGCAGCCCCATCTTGCAAATGCCTATACCTTTTTTTCTGGTCCTGAAATAGTACTTGTATGTCTGGGTTCGATATGTTGGCCTCCATCGTTCGACTCGATCTTTCTCACCGCACCATAGGTTAAGCCCCTGGTAAGACCCCTGCATTGGTGCAAGGACACTAACCAGAAAATAACTGTTTCAACCGTCAATTATTGTTGGGCGTGGAGATAACAAAAGGGGTTTTTGGGTCGACATCAGCACAGGGGTCTAGAAAGTGCAGTTGCGCCCTGCAAAAAAAGAGAAGACAAGAAAAGAAAGGGGCTGATAGGCTCGGGGACATGACAAGGAGTAGCTTTCCTTCGCATGCGAGATGTCCCCATGGCAGTGAATCTGTTTAATCCTTTCCCGCGGGCGCGAATGCCTGCTTAGCGTAAGGCAACATTGCGTTCTGATGCTTGGACCTCGGTCTGAAACAACGGTCTCGTCGTCTGTACCAGATGACCCCTCTTAACACCATGGGGGATCGCGTACTTAACAATGTGGAGCACGACTCATCACCCGGGAGACCATTCCGCGGGATCTTCCCAGACCCCAGCTGTGGGGTGTCAATCAAAGTAATTCCATACTGGACCCTGCTCATCCGTACCTCTGGGTCTTTGTTTCTTTTGATTCAACGGACCATAGCATACGTGCAGTAGTGGAGCGTGTTGGTCGAAGGTCACTCACATCGCCCGAAAGAGAAACAGATGACACCATGCTAACGAATAGTAACAAGGGCTCCTCACGGGGTGCCTGTTGAGGTCAAGCCATCACCCGTTAAGTATTCTGTCTACTGACACTCATGAACCGAGTTCCCCTTTGGGAATGCTCGGCAACCCGTTATGTGTGACCTGAATCATTCCCTAAGTCATCTATGGAAATGCCGCCTTTCTCCGTGAGATTTCGACCTCCAAGGAAGACCGAGGCTTGTTACACTTAATGATTTGCGTGTTTTAAATGAAGAGTCTTTTCTGTAGTCGCAAAACGCCACCTAGTTGGGACTAAGCCCTGGTAAGAAAAGACCGAGGCGAGAGAAAAGAAAAGGAACGGAGACGAGCTGGAAGTAACTCTTTGACGATTTCGACATAGCCCTTTTGGGCATGTCTGGACTTAACTACGCGCACGCAGGCCACATGAGTCACCCATCGGAAGAGACAGCCCCGAGGAGGATGTGCAAAAAAGGTGGGTCAAGTTTACGTTTATCTGGAATAGATTCAGCAATAACCCTATTCGATAGGATGGTAGCCTCCTGCAAGAGCAAATGATGACATTTCCCGCAATACGCCCGATAACCTGAAGCACCGGGTATGACTATGCTCATGACACTATCTAACCAAAAGGAAAGAGATAACATCTTTGGGCTGGAGGCGCCAACTCAGTCAACGGGTGTTGCACAGCAACGTCGGACGTCTACTGCGCAGCCTTATCCTCGAACCCAAAGGATTATTATTTCCGAGCGGAAGTTCCCGACTTTTATGCAA